CAAAACAAGAAGGTGTAAGGGAGATCTAAAAGTAGATCTAAATCTAAAGACAGAAATAATAAGAAGTGTTATAACTGTGGGAAGTTGTGATACTTCAAGAGGGACTGTTTTGATTGAAAAAAGAAACAAAAAGATCAGAATAATGCAGCCATAGTGTCTGAATTAGATAGCCTACATGTATTAAATGTGTCAACTGAAAACCCTAGTAAAGACTGGATCCTAGATACTGGATGTATCTTTCATATGTGCCTAAAAAAACATGGTTTTATAATTACAAAGAAATAGAACCAGGAAAAGTGTATATGAGAGATAATAATTCCTAGACTGTAATTGGCACTGGTGACATTGCCATAAAAATGTTTAATGGCATTGTCAGAACAATAAAAAATGTGAGATATGTCTCAAATCTGAAAAGGAACCTTATTTCACTAGGGATACTTGAAGATGAGGATATAACTTCAAATCTGATAATAAAACCCTAAAAATTATGAATGGTTCTTTAGTTGTGATGAATGGACCTAAAAGAAATGGACTATACTGTGTAGAAGGAAAAACAGTTATATCATCTGATTCAAATGCTCTAACTGTTAATGAAAATAAATCTGGTCTTTAGCATAACAGATTGGGATATTTTGGAAATAAAGGGCTAAAATCTTTAATTGATCAAAAATTACTTGGAAAGGATGACATTGAGTCTGTGAACTTTTGTGAGACTTGTGTGTTAGGTAAGTCCCACAAGGTTAGTTTTGAATCTAGCTCAGATAGAACCAATAGGCCTTTGGATTACCTACATGCTGACCTTTAGGGTCCAGAAAAGCACTCCACCTTTTGGTGGAAGTAGATATTTCTGATCACTTATAGATGACTACTCTAGGAAGGTTTGGATTTATTCCTTAAAGGATAAATCTGAAACCTTCCAGAAGTTCAGGACATGGCTGAAAATTGTTGAAAATCAATTAGAGAAAAAATTGAAAACCCTAAGAACTAATAATGGGTTGGAGTTCTGTAATGCTGAATTTGATAATTTCTTTAAACAGAAAGGGATATTAAGGATAAGACTGTGAAACACAGACCTCAGCAGAATGAGGTAGCTGAGAGAATGAACATGACTATAATGAGTAAAGTTAGATGCATGCTTATCAGTTCTGGTCTAGCTAAAGGGTTTTGGGCTGAGGCTGCTTGTACAGCAGCTTACTTGATCAATAGTTCCACTTCTAGTAGTATAGGGTTTAAGACCCCACAAGAATTGTGGACAGGTAAACCCCCAAACTTAACTTATATAAGGGTTTTAGGATGTACAACATATGCACATCAATTTGAAGGAAAATTGGAACCTAGAGCCACCAAATGTGTGATGCTAGGATATCTAGAAAGTGTTAAAGGCTACAAGTTGTGAGTTTTTGGTGTTCGATGCATTAAGATTGTTAATAGTAGAGATGTAATCTTCAATAAATCAGAAATGTCATGCCTAAAACAAGAATTTACAGGAACAGATAAATTTGAAAATAATAAGACTGTTCAAAGTGAGGTGAAGTTAACTAAATTTAACCCATCTCAATTTGAAGATGATGGAAATGATGTTGTACATCATCAGGATAAATAAGTTACTGAACCTGCAGAGCCTAATGAACCCCAGATTGGGGCTGAATCTGAAGAACCTGATCATATTACTGAACATACTGAGGTTCAAGATTATCATCTCACAAGGTATAGGGCAAGAAGACAACCTAGACCTAATCCTAGTTATGAACTATTAAATTTGACTGACTTTGCCTTAGTCTCCAAAGAAGAAGTAGAACAAGCTGAACCTACCTCTTATGAAGAAGCTATTCATGGGAAATATTCTGAAAATTGGTTAAAGGCCATAAAAGAAGAGATGCAATCCCTGAATGAAAATAAAACTTGGAAACTTGTTAGAAAACCTGAGGATCATAGGGTAGTACAATGTAAATGAGTTTACAAACTTAAAGAGGGTAATAGCCCAACCGATCCTATTAGGTTTAAGGCAGACTAGTGGCAAAGGGGTATACTAAAAAAGAAGGGGTTGATTACAATGAGATATTCTCACCTGTAATCAAATATAAAACTATCAGGTTGATATTTGCTCTAATTGTCCAATTCAATTGGGAACTTGAGCAACTTGATGTGAAAAATGCATTCTTATATGGGGAGTTGGAAGATGATATCTTCATGAGTCAGCCTCAAGGCTTTGAAGTTAAAAACAAATTTGAAACAAAGTCCTAGACAATGGTATAAAAGGTTTGATGCATATGTGTTAAAAATTGGGTTCAAAAGAAGTGAATTTGACGCTTGCTTATATTATAACAACATGAAAAATGGGGGTGAAGTTTACTTACTATTGTATGTGGATGATATGCTTCTGGCCAATCCTGATAAGTCTCAAATTACAAGATTAAAGGATCTTCTGAAATCTGAATTTGATATGAAGGACTTAGGATATGCTAGAAAAATCCTAAGGATGGCTATAAAAAGGATCGGATATGAAAATAGGTTAACCATTACAAAAGAAGCATACCTAAATAAAGTAGTGGTCATATTTGGTACGAAAGATAGTAAAGTGGTTAATGTACCCCTTGCAGCCCACGTGAACCTATCTACATCACACTCTCCTAAATCTGAAGAAGAGGTGAAGGAAATGGAAAACATACCCTATATAAATGCTATAGGTTCTGTTATGTTTTCTATGATAACAACCAGACCTGACCTTGCTTATGCAATCAGTTTCCTAAGCAAATTATGTCCAATCCTAGCAAGCCTCATTGGGTTGGGATGAAATGGTTGCTTAGATATATTGTTGGTAAATTAAATTTGGGATTAGTGTATGAGAAAAGATCTAAAAATTTAACTCTAAAAGGCAATGTTGATACTGACTTTGCTGGTGACAAAGACAGTAGAAAGTCTACTACAGCTTATTTCTTTACTCTTGGCAAAAATTAAATAAATTGAAAATCACAATTACAACCATTGATTACATTGTCCAGCATAGAAGCTGAGTATGTAGCCATAACTGAGACTGTAAAAGAATGTACTTGGTTAAGAGGGATTTTAAAAGAATTGAACTTTATGAATGATACTCATATTATATATACTGATAGTCAGAGTGCTCTATTACTAAATAAAAATCCCGTCTATCATGAAAGATCAAAATATATTGAGGTAAAGTATCATTTTATAAGAGAAAAATTGTCTCAAGGTGAAGTTAAATTGATTAAAGTTCATACTGATAAAAATCCTTTTGATATGGAAACCAAAGTTTTGCCTATAAGTAAGTTTAAAACATGTTTATCCTTGCTTCATATTGACACAGGTTAATTTTCTTTTGCAGGCCCTAGGGCAATGATGATAGAGAGCTGTTCCATGGCAGTTTCAGCAACCAGAGAGTGAGTATTGTTGAGAATCAAGGTGAAGAATGTGAAAAGTGGTGTTTCTCTGAACACTCTAAAAGAGTGTTATTTCTGTCAATTGGGCTTTCTGCTTACTTGAAAAATTCCGCCTACTTGGCACTCGATTATTGGACACTTGATACTCGTTTTGGACCATGCTAGTTGAGACTCGTTTTGGACCATTGGATTAAATGGAAGGCTGAGATTGATCCTTGGGAGGTGGACCATCCTTTTCTACCCAAAAGTCTCGTGACTTTTGGTTCATTCCAGATTTTTCTCCTTCTCTCTTCTGGGTCTCTCTCTACTTCGTCTCTGAGTCTGAAATTTTTTTCTTGTATTGTAAGGTTTCTGTGATCTTTAGAATGGAGTTTGTGGTTTTTGTTAGTGATCAGGCTTGAGAGGGTGGCTGATCTTTGTATTGTTAAACTCCTAAACGTTTGGTTGATTTTATGAGTTGTGTTTCACGAGATCTTTTAAATCGGTGATCAAAACCTTGTGATTTGAGTGGTTCTTGATGTACTCTTGCTCTTTTGGAAGGTAGATTGTGCCATAGTGGAATGGATTGTCCCTGTGCCCCCTAGATTAGGTCTATTTCGGTTGAACTGGATTAACATCTTTAGTATTCTTGTGTTTGTTTTATGTTTCTTGTTGTGTTGTTGGTTTTACTACATATCTTTTTTTAGAAAATCAACAGTAAATCCTTACACCTGGCTCAAGAAATCTTCAATCTGCGTATATCTCTGAAATCGGCTTTCGAGTAAACTACTGTAATATAAAATTTGAAGTGGGGAGTAATAATGAAACCGATTTTGAGCCAAGAAAATGTCTATGCACAATTTTAACAAGTAACGTATTCAATTTTTTTTATTATTTTTTTCCTTTGGCTCCCAAGAATTACTTAGACTTGTTAAGTTTATTTTGTTTACTTCATTAATTGGACGTTAAATTGTGTGCTTCTTTTCAAATTTCTATATTCTTTACTTCTTTTCTTCGAAAGTTAAGGAAAAAAAACCAACTCAATTGGAAAGTGATACATATCAATTAGAATTAGAAGAGAGAATCACAAACTAATTGAAAAAGAGAAATAATAAGAAGAAGCTACAAAAACGTGCATAACTTACAATTCGGGTATTGAATTTTTCCGAGCAGTTTGATTCTATATAATTTTTCCAAGTGACGATGTAGGCAACTTTTGGGATCAAATTCCGTTGTTCGGATGTCCATTTTAGCAAATTTCTGTTTTAAGCTAGTTTAGGGATATTTTCATCATTTTTGTAGATTGGTAGTTTTATTCATATTTATCTACGAAATCTTATATCTACAAAATTAAGATATCCAGTCGATTAGTATTTGTTCCAAGTCTTTAAATATGTTTTAAGGTTTTGAAAACTTTACATTCAATTTTTTATTAATTATATTACAGTTTTCCCATTATTTGGTTAATTCCAATATTTCTCACTTTGATTCGTGTGTTACGAATAAAAATCTTTTTATTATTATTTTGCGTCAGGAAGTTAGTAAGTTACCTTCCCCCAACGAAAAATAAATAAATAAATAAATCATAGACAACATCATTAGAGAAAAGAATTATGAATAAAATTGAAAATTTTATATCCCACGAAAATCACCTCAGCCCATGGTAGACTTATTTTGAACAACACATTCTATTATAAAAATTATAATCGTGCTTATATCAAATTTTTTACCAGCACTCATATAACTTGATATCAACGCAAAGTCTGAAATAAACCTCCCCTTCAAAAGCGTCTGTGCTCAAAGTGGCAATTCCTCTAGACATGAAAAAATCGCCAGTTCCACCAATGACAGAAATGTCCCTGGTCTTGTTCATCAACGGGTCAGCGCCGGCGAAATTTATACTACCCTTGTGTTCAGTAGAATTGAAAACAAATGAAAAACCTAGCCATGCAGTGAATATATCTTTTTTGTCATAAAGATAGAATCCTTGTGCTCGGCCAACTGGGGTTGAATGGAGATTATTATCTAGTGTAATGGGATCATCAAACACCACCATATTGCCAAAATGGTTTTGGCCACTTAAAATGGTTCTATTTCCCCAAGCTGGTGACCCTACAATGGCTGCAGTTGCATTCTTGGAGTTGTGGCCGTTGTAAAGAATGTCATGGAAGTAAAACACTAGCTGTTTACATGGCTGTGGTCGAGCCCGGATTTTCAGGTTTGGTGTGGCTGAGCATTCGAGGATGAGGATGAGGATGAGGACGAGGAGGAGGAAAAAGAAGGCAAGTGAAGGGAAATGGGTAGTTCTTCCCATTTTCGTATTGGGGTGGAGGTTATAAAAATGGAGAAGTGAATATGATCTAGTTGAGTGTGTGGAGATTTGCAATATCCACTTTCTTTATATAGACTAGAGATTTTTTTTTTTTTGGAAGTAAAAAGAAAAATTAAAAATGAGCCCACAAATTATCTCACACGATCCGTGGTGATCACGAGCATGAGGTGAGAGTTTTATTTGGATTAACCTTCGGTCTAACTTACTCATGAAATATATCTTCATCAACTAGAGGTCAAGTTATAAATCGCTTTCAAAGTCTTATGTAATTTCTTTTTTGTTTTTACGAGTATCAATAAATAACCCACCTATGAGTTTTTTCTTTTAAAAAAAATTAAATTTAAGAATGGGTCCTCATATCCATAAATGGGTACATATATAATGCTTGACTTTTAAGGCATCCTATGATGAGCTTGAAAAGGTTTGAAAATAATTGTTATAACATGTGATTGTTCGTGGTTTAGGTTTGGCTTGAAGTCTAAGATTAACCTAATCATTATACAAGATGATCATTATACAAGATGCATCAGTGTGGACAAATTCTTCAAGAAAATAAAATGAAAAAATTCTACATGAATTCATATATTTTATTGAATTTTTATTATAATTAAATTATTAAACTCATTTTTTTAAAAGGAAGAAAGGAAAAGGGAAAAATGTATTATGTGAGAAAGTCTTTTTTTTTTTTTTTTTTTTAGTTCATCTGATTGTTTGATATATCTTCGTCGGTGAAATCTATTTCTAACTTGATAAGGTGTATTTAATTTGTTAGGTACCTAAGTCCATCAATTATGAAAGTAGTGATTTTTCTTGCATTTGAAATGGTTGAAAATTAGTTAAGATATGACACCAAATTGGCAAAAATTGGATTAGTTAGGCCAACTCTAGCCCATATCGATCCCAATGTCTACCAACCAAAAATTTAAGTGTTTTGCCTACATTTTGATGCATCAAATTTGTGTCTTAATATTATGGAATTTTCGGAAACTTATAATAATTTCTTCAAAATTAAAATATTAAAATTAACTAAATTGTATATATATAACAAAATCATAAGAAAGTGTATGTGTTTTCTTCTAAGTTATTTATAAGAAAAAGTTAAAGTCAAACTTTAATTTTAACTACACATTTTTAACCATTGCCTAGTTTATTATCCACACATTTTTTGGATCCACTACCTTTTGCCTTATAATGAAATTACAAGTAACTTATTAGTTAATCCAATCGCACGCATAGTTTGATAGGTACATTGACAATTTTTCGAGGCAGATATTAAAAAATTACATGTCTTCACCTGGAAAATACTTCTTTGACTTTAAGTTTTATCGTTCACTAGAAATTTATTTTCAACTTATACCATAATTTTGTTCCAAAAGTTCTTATTTTGTCATTTATGAAATAAATAAAATTAAAATAAGTTGAAGAAAATCTTGGGTTGATGTTGGGAGTTATCCAACAAAATGGGCCATCCAGACTCAACCCGTGCAGGCCAGAGCCGGACTTATGCCCAATCCGTGGTATCTCAGGTCATTCGGATTCAAGCCTTCAAGGGAAATTTACACAAATATCAATATTTCGAACAAAAATTAATTTGACAAAGATCAATTTATACATATTCTTATTTTTTTTTTCCTTAAATCTTCATTCATGGTGCCAATTTTTGATAATTTTTATCACTTTTGGAGGATTTTGTGCACCAACACGGTCCACACTACTCATCTACTCTTGTTAGTTACGTCACAACTTTTATTTTCTCCTTGTCCAAATATTTACCCAAAGTTCATCATCAACTACTGGTAAAGAAATCAAGAAATTTTGTACAAAAACTTAATCATTCAAAATAAGAATTCTTTTGATATATTCCAGTCACGACACTATACTTTAGCCTGCATTTGGGAAAAAAATTATAAATAGGCAAAAATGACTGATAAATAAATAGATAGTACTTATGGATGCATTAAAATATGTGGTTGGAAATGAAGTTTGATCATTTATAAATGATTTATAAATTTTGTCAAATGATGACTTCGATTGAGCATGTCTAATTTTAAAATGATGGTATAATTTTATTTTATTTTTTTTAAAAAAAATTATTCCGGTGAACAATAAATCTTGAAGTCAAAAAAGTATTTTCTCGGTAAAAACATGTACTTTTTTTTAAAGACGAGATAAAAAAAAATATTGCAACATGCTAATCAAATTGAATGTTCTATTACATATTAGAAAAATGCTAAACGACCCGCGGGGTTGACACCACGGCTGACCACCCTCTCACATGCCGAGCTGGGTCCCATTGAATAAAATAATACCGACCTCCCCATGTGTGTGTAGGGTGTCAACCCCGCGGTCAAGCTTGTGGGCTATGTAGCACAATCCTACATATTATTATATAGAATATAATTGATTTTACTGTAGAACATTGAAGACTATTAAAACTATATAACTAATATAAATTTTACAAAAATTCCATAATACATATAGCTAGATACCCGCCATATATTTGTTGAGTCAATTCACAATTGTATTTCAAGATTGACAAATTATTTGGTCCAATGGATTAATATCAATTTTCGACCAATGCATGTATATTTTTGTTTATCCTATTTCATACGAAAATATCGAGCCCATGTTTGATCCCCATTTTTGGGGTAAAATGTATTATAGAATAGTGATGTTAGGGAGAATGTGTGGTTAAAATATTTTTACAAAAAAAAAATAGTTTTTCAAATACGTGTATGATTATTTTATGGGAGAATGTATGATTGAAAATGATATTAGAAAAAATGCATTCTTGAAAAAATGAGGCTCAAACAGAGGCTGAATACATGTGTGCGATGTGTGAGCCAATAGACAAATATTTTGTGACAACTTTTGTGCACTTACTCTTGTTAAAAGATATATGATTGTATAAAAAAATTTAAAAATATACGTACTATGTGATTAAAATCCTATTAAGTACCCTCCCTCAGACATCAAACATAGGCTAAATATCCTTTTTATATATATGATTGTTAAGGGAAAGGGATCAAGAATCTTGAAAAAAAAAAATAGGAATGGAATCATGGATCTGGCATGAAACTAAAGAAATTTATTTTTGGCATAAACTAGGTTTATCACGGATCCTGGAATGAAACATGCAAAGGCTGTTTCCTTCAATCTTTCACTATAAGTACAAATAATGAATGATTTTCTCAGCATATAAGCTGTGTTTGCCAACCAAACTATAAATCATTTACATATTCACATTCAGAAATATTATTCATTTATTATTCACATACTTTGTGGATCCATCATTATTATTATCTCTATTTACAAATTATCTATAAATCTGCCAAAAGGAGGATAAGACATGACTTCTCCATCTCTTCTTCTGCTTCTTCTTTTTTTTTTTTTTTTCCCTTTTCCATGCACGCCTTTATCAGAACCAAGTTTGATTTCCTAACCACAGTGACAGTAGTTATAATGTCCATTGTGGGTATGATAATATGTGGTGTTGTCATATTATACTTCCACTGCTGACGTGACAACACCACATGTTGCCACATCCACAACAAACATTATAACTCCTGTTTACAATGGACAAGAGATCAGGTCAACTATCATAGCATATTTTGCTAAGCTTAAAAATTTAGCATCTAAACTAATGTAAAAATTACTTGTAAGTGATTTTTTTTCTTAAAAGTAAAAAAGAAGGTTAACTGTTCAAACACCTTTGGAAGAGTTACAGTAATCCTCAGGGGTCTTACCCAGTTTTTCAAGAAGTCTAGGGAAAGGGAAGGAGAGCATAATTCAAGCAAGGTGAGAAAGTGAAGTTTCAGTTTATTTTGATACAATTTTTGGAACGGAATCATCTTAACTGAAGTGTCCGTACTTATTTTTCTTGGAGTACAAGCTCACGGAAGAAATTAACAAAACATAATTGGTTGCAATATTCGAGCCAAAGAGCACTACAGTGTTTTAGACACACTTGCGAATATTAGTCGATAGTAGGGAGAAAAAGAAATAGCTGCAGCTTGGATCCTTATTGCTCTTGCTATAGCATTATCCGGCTTTAATCTTTTGCCTATTGTCTCGATCCGGATAATTCTTAAAGCACCAGCTTCTGAGAATAATTTTCTGTAAATGCTTTGTCCGATAAAATAACTTTTATAGAAAGTTAACCTAAGAAGTAGAAGTCCTGCCGAACGGCCTCCTAGTATTACCTCAAGTAATGTAAAGATGTGCCATGAACTAGTTGAGTCTCTCAAGACAAAATAACAATTTAGTGCAATAACCAAATTATGCATGTAAATTAATTTTTTTTTCACTGCTGTAAATTGTACCGTTTAGTTCATTAATAAATAAAGTCAATTTTGTTCGATCTTTTTAATTTTTAGATTTTATTTATTATTGTTTATGAAAGAAAGAATGAAGGAATAAACTTTCAAAATAAATATTGTACACAACTTTTGTGCACTTTAAGGAATTCAATCGGCTGTCGGTTAGGCGATGTTTGATTGCAATCCGATTAATTACCTCAACTCCTTCAGACATATTTGTAAGTCGATCTGGTCACCAATTTTTAAGTCGGACTGCCCAGTTCGAGCTTTACAGCTATGTAATGAAATTGTAGAAAAAAATTATAATATACTAATTTTTAAAAGTTATTTGTAGAAAAACTATGGAGAAAGTGGCACAATGATGGGCCAACTGGGCTGGAATTAATCTGCTGTTTCAGTGGGCCGGATCGTCCAAATTGTTAAGTGATTGCTATGTTGTTTTTGCAGAAATTGTAAGCTGGCGAAACACGTTTTTGGTTATGATAAATAGATGCCCAGATTTTGACAAGTGCCACACTTTACACCATTGGATGAAGACTCTAGTGGGTTTCATATTAAAATGGCATTAGGGTTGGACGTCCAGTAGAACCAAACAGAATCAGTTTTCATTCTCTCACCTCACAAGTCTCTGCCTCTCATCTCTCTCTCTCTCTCTCTCTCTCTCTCTCTCTCTCTCCATAATCTGCCAATTTTTGCACTCCAAAAAT